AACTCCTTGTGCCTCATTGTGATTGTGCTTTTTTTTTTTTTTTTTTTTTTTCCTGGGAAGAGAGTCATTAGTTGTTTTGGGTTTTGTTTTTTTTTTTTTTTTTAACCAGATTCTCAAGTGAATGCATAGCTCAACACAGTTTAGAACATAGAGAAGACACCTCTCATAGGATATCTGAGCAGCACCCAAAGTCTCTTCTTTTTGGGATGTTGACCTTGACATACAAGGATGTGGTCTTTAGGGCCAAAGCTGTACAGTCTGACCTTGCCATAGTGGTTGCAGTTGAATGAAGCTGGGGAAACAATTGATCCCAGCTGACACAATCAGATCCCAAGAGTATACAGTTGTGAACTGAGAAACCTGGAAGCTGGGGGTGTAGGAATTAGAACTTTAGACAAAATTTTCATGAATTCCTTATTTTCAGGTATCTATCAACTACTTTGATTCCTGTCGTCCATGGTGCTGAATTGTTCAAATCTTTCTTGAGTTCTCTGGGATAACCTCAGTATCCTTCTAATACCTCTCTCTCTCTCTCTCTCTGATTGGCTAGCCAGAGTTCATTTCTTTCTCTTGTAGCCAAAAGAATTGTGATGGATATAGAAACTATGTTTCAAATACTGAAATGAGGTAGTGAGGAAGAATTGAAATGTTTACATAGATGCATAGCATTATCTAAAAACTATTTTAGAAACATCAGAGTTGTCTTTAGGTCTTCTCTCTATCTCCAGTCTTTAACATCAAACCAACACTCTCCTTCACCCATTTTGTCTGTGCAAGATGTCTAGTATCCATCCCCTCTGCAGCCATGCTGGTTCAGTTCTTAATGATCATTCTTCTTGTAGACCGTTGAAATGAGCTAACTCTAGGCTCTAATCTGTTCCTCACACTGCTAATAAGTGTCCTTTGCAACTTGTATATGATTATATGCATCAGCTCAAAAATTTTAGCCCACACTTTTTTAGTGAAAAGGCCTAAATTTTGAAGAGCCTGGCCACAATCTACCTTTCCAACGTTATCAACGGCAGATAAGACTCTTAAAGTGACCAGACTCCATTTCAGATCAGATCCTGGCCTCTAAGTCTCTACACCCACTGCCCCCTATGTTTGAAATGATACTTATTTTCTTTTAACCCTGGTCATTCAACATAGATGTCATCTATGTTGTCCTTCCCTGCTCCATCCAGGCAAAATTGTTCTCTCCAGATTCTTTGTATTCTTATAGCAGAGGATTTTACTTGATTTTGACATAGTATAGCTATTTACTCACCTCTGCCTCCCCTTCTATTCTATAAGCTGTTCAAGAGCATGTCTTTTTATTTATTTTTATATTTAGGACCTAACACAATGTCTTCCAAAAGTGGATACTTGTAAATATTTCATGGATATGCAGAGGAATTGGTAGATGTCAGAACTAATGAAGGCAATAAAGAAGACACTGGGGGAAGAGATATAGAGAGGACCTGGTAGGTTGATTGCCAATCTCAAAAACAGTTCAAGAGAAAGGATTGGCCAATAGTACCTAAGTCTGGAGACAAGTCAAGGGTGGGAAAGCTCACTGAATTCGGTATGAGGAGGCAACTGCTATGATACATTCATAATGCGGAGAAGAGTGGCTGAAGAGGTGAAAATGCCATTATGTGAGGAAGCTGGGAAGGAAGCAGAAGAAAAAGAAACAGTTTACTTCTTTGGGAAGTAGGGAAAGATAATGAGGTTGATGGGGGGGTCGAGGGGGTGGGCGGGGACAGTCTAGTCCAGTAAGGCAAGGAGTGAAATCATAATGGTCCTAGAGAAGAAGGAGGAAGTTGGTGGTGTTAGCATTGTCAAAAGACAGAAAAGCCTCCTCTTTGAAATAGAAAATAGGTCTAGATAACAACAATTATTTTGGAAGAAAAATGAGATTTCTTAAATCCAAGAAAAGGATAAATAGAAAGAACTGCAATCTCCAGTGTTATTCGTTTTCACTGCAGTACAAAGAGTATTTCCATTGCCTCTATCAAGAACTCTCCCCCAAGCAAAGTTCATCCAATAGAGAGTCAAGACAAAGGTAGAATAACTATAATTTTGTAAAGGGGAGACGTTAAGGACATAAAGACAGCAAAGATCACTTGAATTGTATCCGTTTCACGTCAAGGGCACCCTTATAATCACATTTAGTTACACATAGATGGGCTGTGGAAACAGCTGGGTGGACCTTAATTTAATTTAACTAATTGATTTATTGGTTTCATTAATTGCTGTCAAAGGATACAAATACTGTCCCCAAGGGCCACAGTTTAGTTGGTCATCACTACAGCTTCTAGAAAAGTAATTGGATTTCTTAGTTTAGCCCTCGAGGTGAGCTATCAAAGAGCTAACAGGATTTAACAATATAGTGCCTTGGAAAATAAAGACAGAGAACTACCTATTGATATAAACAGTGCCTCCTTTCTTCTCATTCTCTTCAGTGGCAAGGTCTTTTTCCATTAGTCTTCTCTAATTCCTTTTTATCGGAGTAAATTTCCTTCATTTCTTCTCCAAGAACTCTCTCTACTATCCGTTTCTTTGAATTTCATCTTTCATTTTTAACCTTGGCTTTTCTCTAATTATCTTAGGTCCCATTGAATCTTCTTCATACATAAATGGGATATGAATCAATAAATAATTGATAAAATTGTTAACTCAGAAACTGACAGTTTTTCCCTGTTACGTTGCAGGCTTTGGATATAATGCCAGAGCCCAAAACCTTGAGTTACAGATGTTTCTTTTTCTTTCTTAAGTAAAATGAACACCTACTCAATTTTTTAAAAAATAAAAGTTTTCAAGTATTGAGAAGAAAAAATAATTTAGAACCCCAGATTTCTTACCTTTGAATCTTTTCCCTATGTGTATAGATATGCCTGAATCTCAAGAAGAAAGAACTATAAGTTAAACCCTCAGTAGCTGTTTTACTTTGTCACCCAAGGCATCAGCAGCACATTTTGTTTGGTTTTGGTTTTGGTTTTTATTTATTTTTGAGAGAGAGAGAGAGAGAGGCAGAGTGCAACAGGGGAGGGGCAGAGAGACAGAATGAGACACAGAATCTGAAGCAGGCTCCAAGCTCTGAGCTGTCAGCACAGAGCCCAAGGTGGGGCTCGAACTCATGAGCCGTGAGATCATGACCTGAGCTGAAGTCAGATGCTTGACCAACTGAGCCACCCAGGCGCCCCCATAAGCAACACTTTTAACCTTGAAACAAAATCAGGGAGGAAAATATTGTCTTCCCTCCTTCCATCCTCCTTCCCTCCTTCCCTCTCTCTCTTCCTTCCCTACCCAGATTTGGCATGCCTAGAACCTGGGTCAGTGCCCAATAAAAATTAGTGCCAGACACGGTAGCTTATGTACCTGGGAGAACATAAGTGGCCCTAGATGGGGAACTGTAATGCAGGCAAAACAGAGGCTGTGGTGTGCAGACGTGTAGCAGCGTTCAGGGGAAGTTGCTTAACTCTGCCCACATAGGAAACATACCCTGGAGGTACGTTTCAAAAGATTTGGTAGAAGGATGAATGTTTTGAGCCACTTGAATCCAGTATCAGCCATATAAATAAAAAAGCCAATGAAATTTGAGTCATGGGCATTGATATGACCTCATTCATCTACGAAGTCTCATAGAGCCCAGGGAAATTCAGGTGTTAGTTAGGACATCCTTAGACACTCAAGGGCCTAATAAATTTGTGCCATATTTCATAATGTGTGTTCTCCATTTGCCATACCCCTCCAGTAATTAATGGATATGCCCATTGCAAAATGCAGATTTCCTTTTAAATATTTAAACTTTGATTCCCAAATTAATTTAGGACTCCCATTTCTTCTGAGAGCATATATAAAAATTGTCTTACACTGACAGGATGAATGCAATAATGTGTATTGTGATTAATGCAGGTATAAAAAAGCTGAAGACATTGGGGACAATCCCAACATACCAATGTCAACCCATAGTCTTGAACAAAGGTTTTACAAGAGAAACTCCCTATGTCCAAAGGACTGCTAGAAACAAGCATGTCTGGTTTAAATCTATAATTCCCAGCTCTCCTATTTAGTTTGTGGTTAAACACTGCCTCCCATGGCATCTTACACTTGAATAATTTTATTCTATACACACACACACACACACACACACACACACACACTGGTGCCTTTGCTATTATACCACATTGTTGTTCAATATTAGGGAACTGTTGAAATACTAAAGTTGAGTCTTTACAAAATGACAATAATGTTACTTTAACTGCCTGTAAAATACAGTTTGCTTATTATAGTGACATTCACATTGCATAACAACACAATTTTGCATTATTCAATTTCTTAAGACCCTCAATATGCTTTTAGCTCTTGTAAGTATGATTTGATTTTAACTGTACACATAAAGTATAAATATAATAACTGCAGATGATATGTTCCATGTAATGAATCAAATGATCTCTATAGACCAAGAAAGTCAGAAACCTTTGAAAACTACCTCAGTGTTTTCTAGCCAGTGAACTTTCTTATCAACATCACTGTGAATATCATCTTGTCTGCGGGGGGGGGGGGGCCTTTTACAGAAGAACTTGTTAGACAATGTCTGGGGCAAATATCACTGTAGTAGGGTCTTGAGTGGCTGTACAGTTACCTAGACTCTCTGGGGCAATCAGCCCTTTTGATAATAATTCTGAAAATTGATTCATGGGCTCTTACAATTAGAAAGGCTCTTAGAGATCATCTCATATAGCCAAACTCCCTCAATCAGGACCTACTTCTAGATACACAGTGGATCTGGTTCTACTCTCACTATTTCACTTAGTTTTGCTTGTGCATTACCTCTTCCTGCTAAGAATCCAGAATTGTAGCAGCAGTCTGAAAACTTATCCCTAGGATGCTTCCAAATTTTATTCCATGTTCATTAAACTGAAAGCTAGCTTTTCTATGACATAGCTCTTTTTCTTTAATGTGAAGAATGAGAGTCACAAGAATGGAAACTGGACTAACCTCCAGGCATTTTGCAGGAGACACTCAGGCTGCACAGCTCCAAGGACAAGCTGCCCATCATGGAGTGGATTTCCCTGGAAACTGCTAGTGAATTGGAGCTCAGTCAAAGGCTGACATACCATGAGCTGTTTGCAATATGAGGACCCTAAATCCCGCTCATTCTTCAAAATCCAGTTTAAATATCTCATTCCCCTTCCTAATATTAATAAATAATATCACTTCTTCTGATTCCCAAGTGCTTTGTGTACATCTTTGCTGTGGTTGTTTAAGAATCTCTGCCAGTGAGATTGTGTAGTTTATTGAGGAACGTGACTCTATCTTATCAATTTTGTTATCTTCAATGCCTGAAGTAGAATAGTTATCTAATAAATGTCTGAATGGAGAAGAAAATGTCAAAGAAAAACATGAAGATAGCATATTCTTTTTATTGAACATCAGGGAGCATCAGGAAAAGAATATAAAAACGTACAAAATCTCTTCTCCCCCTTGTATGACCAGAAAAGCCTATGAATATAGTCAGATAGTCCTAACCAGTGTGGTAAATTTATTTCTGAAAACGAGGCAAGTTTACATTGTCTCTGCACCTGTGATAACTCTGACCAGTGTTATTTAAATTGTTTACTCTTTGTTCAGATAATTCTCAGTGCCACACATCCTCCAATAATGATAACCAACCGCACGCTCGCAGAACGTAGATAGATTGTAGAAAAATACCAACATTTTCTTTTGTAAATACTCTCACACAGCACACAGAATTGTCTCTGCAAGTCATTTTATTAATGTCGTTTGAAAAACAGATTGACTTCAGGAGCTATTGTCTGTGGTATGTTGCTGCTGTTTCCCTCCGTCCCGCACTCTGTACTGTAGTCTTCACAAAAGAACACTAGAGGGATCAGCTTCATATTTTTCCGAGGCCTTTGTGTTAACCAAGCCAAGTACAATTATGGCTCTTCCCAGAAGAGGGAAAGAATAATGTTGGCAATAGAGTGTTACCCACCCAGAACCACACAAAAAGCTGCAAATATGACCAAAATGGCTTTCTCAGCCTTTATAAACCCAGCTACGTGGCATTTTCTGTGACCAGAGGCAGCACTTTAAGAAATTACCTTTAAAAAGCTGGTTAGAGGTCTGTCGGAGCTTTGAAAGGAACTCGAAACCTGGGGAGGGATTGAAGGAATAAATAAGCAGACTTGTTGTTTAATAAGACTGCCAATTTTTTTTTTTTTTTACTTCCAAGGGACAAAATCAAGTAAATGTCAGATTTTTCCCAGCTGGTAAACACATTCAGATTTCAGGCGAAAATCCTCCAAAAGGAGTAGGGTTGATAATGACAAAGTAAGAAAACATGAATTCCTTTTTTTTTTTTTAAATTTCAAAATAGGATAGAAAAATAATTCAGTCATCCTTAATCTGGACATTTTTCCTCTTCACTTCGCCTAAATTGTGGATGTGAATAAAGACGTAAATGGATGAAACAGTATAATTTTAGTGTTTATGGATGCATAAGAGAACTAATCAAGCTGGTGATCCAAGTCTGTCAGAGCTAGCACGGTGACTGAATAAGATAAAATTAAAGGGGGGAGAAAACCCTCGCGTCTACAATGTCACCCTGTAGCTTTAATCTATCAGTTTCAGAAAGAGCTTGTCAGCTCCTATACTGATCTGGTTAGTGAACTACCTCACTTGCTGATCCTCTCACCCCCCAGTCCCTGTGGTTTGTCCTAATTAAAATGAAAACCGTACTGCTCTAATAATTTGACTCTACCATTTCTCTTCTCAAAACTTTGCAGTGGCTTTTAATTGCACTAAAACCTGGAATCCAATTAGAAATCGATTGGGGGGCTCTAAGCCCATGTCTCAAATGTTCTCGTGTCTCTGACCCAACTGCTCGCCTCGCTGCTCTGCACAGTCAGGAATGTCAGTCCAGGCAGTCAATCTGCTTGACTCCAATAACATCCTGACATGATTCCCCTTTCTCTTGATTGTACCTTTCTCTTCCCAATAAATAAACACTCAGCTAGAGCGCAGCCACCACTGCCTATTTTTGTTGGTCATGCCAGTTGTCATTTATACGATTTGACGTGCAATATATCTTGTCTTGTTGCTTCTGAAATTATAAACTCTATGCTCTTTGACTCCTCGAGAAGTCCACAGCTTGGGGGGCTCCAGAAAAGTGGTTGACTCTTTTCACTGGAGGAGATCTGAAAAGAAGCTCCGATCTTTGTTTTTATAAGCCAAGAGTGATAATGTAAGTTCAGAGCTTTCTGGAAAAGCGCTGTGATTCCCTTCATCCATCCCTCTTCATTCCTCACTCCTGATTTGGTCCTGCCCTGCTCTGTAAAAAATAGAAAAAGAGCTCTGGCTTTCCTATATTGTGGAACTTTCCAGCAATGTCCTTCCATAAAAGGGATGGGTCTTGTTTCAGAGCCAAGGGATCTGCCTCCAACAGTTTGGGCTGCATGGTGGTAGGGTTGTGTTTTTTTTATACTTTTAGACAACGTGGAAGTGTCTGGAATGGTGCCTTCATTCCTAGCCATTCTAAGAATTACTCAGTGTTTCAGGGCCCTGAGCCAGTAACCACTGCCCAACCACCTCTGCCACGTTAGCTCTGACAGGGAGGTGGGTGAGCTGTGGGTTCAGGAAGGCCAGAGTGATGGCGCCCCCCCCATGCTGAGAAACCCACCACGAGACTGACAGTAATTCTGAAAGGCAAAAAGCACCCACACTCTAGTTCCTACCACTCCCACCCTCTATAGAACTGTAGTAAATGAGTTGTTCAGATCTCACTCTCATCTGGGCTTCTCAAAGTGTAAGATGCCAAGACTCTTAGCAAGGCCATGACCCACATATCCAAGCCCTGAGCAACCCTTGCCCCGGGGCTGCACCCCTCCAGACAGGGTTCCTTTTTCTTTCTTTCTTTTTAAATTTTGCCTGCCCTCTGCTCTGCTGTTTGAGCCATCTCCTCTGCAGCTACCAGGCTGGTAGATGCTTCCTAACATCACAAGCTCCCCAGTATAGAATCCAAGAATTTGAACCAGCACACATCAACGAGCTTAAATTTCTGATGAAATTAACTGTGAAGAGAAAGGCAAGGCTTTGTTAGACTGGATGGGTTCTACAAGAAAAATGGACTTCTTTGGTTCGAAGCAGTGGGACTAGGTGTCTTGCTCTAACCAGCTTTACTGATTCATATAAAGTGCTGCTCTCTAACCAGGAAGTTGTAATGTCCTCTTTACACGCACACATGCACACACTCATGCACACACGCGCGCATGTGCGTGCGCGTCACACACACACACACACACTGTGTTCACTATGAAGGGGTATCCAGCTGGATTTGAATCTTGCTTGTTTCTGACACTTACGACTCTGACACGTCATTATGCATGAGTCTTAGTAAGTTCATCTATAAAATGGGGTAGAACTGATATTAAACCCACTCTCCTCCCTCACGGTCTATCCTCACTTTTCTAATATTTTAACATGAGTATTTCAGTCTCCCTTGGTAATCTAACTGAATGCTAAATCACCGTTCTGGTTATAACATACTTTTCCTACCAGAAGGGACCTCAGGTGCTGTGTTGCTCTGTGTCTTCACTACCTTAAAATGTGCTTGGTACAACAAATGTTGGTTGACTTAATGAGAGGCGTGAAAAACTACTTAGTCTCTGGTCTCAAGTCTGCCACAAAGAAAGCTGTAAGTAACCTCTGGCGAGTCATCTGCGCCACTTTGGCCAGTTCCTTCATCTGTAGAACAAAGTGTTTGCAGTACAGAGACTGGTTCTTGAAGACACTCGTTCTCAGTTAGGAGATTATTGCAAACTCCAGTTCTTTCATTATGTCAGCCAGTCTTCACATCAAAAAGACATCCCATGATGATTCAGAATTCAGGCTCCAAGCCCAGCTGCTTGGGTTTGTATCCCCGCCCTCCCAGTAACTAGCTCTGGGTTTGGGGACAGACTCCTCAACCTTCCTGAGCCTGTTTCTTTATCTGTAAAATGGAAATAATAATGGTGCCATCTCAGGGAGTTGTTGGGATGAGCAGGTGAGTACATTCATGTAAAGCGTGTTAGTAAGAGTAGGCACTCAATAAAAGTTCACTATAACTATATGACTGTCTTTCGTTCCCATATTTTGGATTTAGATAAGTAAAAGTGACTGGCATTTGGGACTTTTGAATAGAATTCCAGTTTTTATTTTAAATTTTTCTTTTTGATCAATGGTAGTCCAAATTCTATATGTAGCAATCTAAGTGGGTGCCAAATATAAGGAGCGTAATTGTTTTTTAAAAAGCCCTGGATGCAATATCCATCCTATATATCAAGAATATGACTAGTAGCATCTTCTAAAAATCACAGTGTAGTGTGTGTCCGTATGCTCATCCTAAGCCACAAATTAAAGGACTTCAACCAAGTTCAGCCAGTCTCGACTTCTATATCTTTATCCTCATGAGGAAGATTTTGATCTCCCTATATTTAACATCAGTTTTATTACTTTCTTCTTTAAGGAATGAAGAAACTTTTCACTTTTGAAGTGAAGAAACATTGACAAAATCACATTGCTTGTTCTTAAAATTTTTATTGTTCCAGCCACAGTACTGGAACACAATTTTCCCTATGGTGGAACGCGGTCATTTTGCTATTCTGAGCAGAGTTTACGAAGACTGAAGTTGAAAGAGCTATGAACTATGGATAACCCATATATTCCAAAATGGTTGTTACATTATTATTTTTCTCACAATTATCCCCCAAAAAACACAGATTTATTTAGTAAGGCTCAGAACAATGAAATAAATACAGTACTGATTTCAAATGCAAATGTCATGTCATTGCTAAATGAGTCAACCTTCAAAAGACAATGATAAATCAACCAGATAATTTCTGCGTGTCAAAGAGTTTTAAAGGTGATAGCTAGTAAATTGAAGTACACATCAAAGTTTCTCAAATAAAAATGTTAAATATAAGTTACTTCTTCATACACATCTAAAACCTGTCAAGTACGGGGGAAAATAATCTGTCTCACCCCCAGCCATTAACTGAACAGATCACAGAAGTAACTGGCATCTTTCCACCTCCCAGGAGTGGCCCTAGAGCATAGTGGCAGCATCATCATTTCACCTGCGGGGGTGAGTCCCCGAGTTCTGGCCCCTCCAGCAGCAATCATGCC